GCATATGAGACACGCTACATATCTCACGTCGGGGTCGACACTGCTGATTCACTGGTGTCGGTGACGGGATTAAAACCCAGCTTACAGCAGCAGCGTCGTACAACACATCATCTACTGCTACTGCTGTTACCTGTAAATCTCGATCATTTCCGGCAGCTCCAGCAACTCCACAAGCAGACGGAAGTGCCGTTTCTCGAACCTGGTGAGTTCCCAGAAGTCGAAGCCGCCGATGACATCCATGAAGTTGGGCATAGAAGCCACCCCAGGGAGCGTCGTCGCTGCTACGAGCTCGTGGTATTCTTCGAGACGAAGCAGACCAACAGAGCTCATCACGACGAAAAGATCATCATGTCCCAGACACAAGCAGAGCACGGCCAACGCGATGACTGAGAGGCACTCGTTATACCTCTCATGGCTGATCCTTGCGCGAGCTAGGCGAGCCATGGCCTCCTGCGCTGTGCGCGTGTGTTTGCTGTAGGCCAACGTCGTGGCAAGCTCGGAGAGCGAACATCTGCGCCGGCCGTTAGGGTTTCAATACTAGCCGCATGCTCGCTCTTTTTCAAATTTTGGTTCCTGGTCCTTCCAATGGGCACACGCGGCGCGATTTAATTTCGCGTCGAAATACCAACCGCAACTTCTTTTCGCGTCAATCCTCGAGATTGCAGAATTCCGCGTCGTTCCTATGTGGATACCCTATACTACCGTAATATCGTTTTGAGTTAGCCCCCCCGACCAAAAAAAACGCCGGGGTGTACCCCAAGAACTTTGAGTTAGCCCTGGGACATCGATTTTGTTTGTTTTTCATTTTGTCGCCACACCACCTTTGTTGTCGCGGGATAATAGAGGGAATCCACGTGTTGTTGAAATGACGTGAAAGATTGACATTTCAGGAAGTTTTGACGTGAAGAGGTTGCGCCGCTTTTTTGGGGGCAAACTCTGACGGCGAAATTTTTGTGAGGAAGCGTCAAAATTAAATTTCACCCAAACATAAAACGACGCGAAAAGATTGACGCTTCAAACATCGCCAGACTGTGGCTCACACACGCTTGCTCTGCTGCGGTCTGCTGTGCGCGGTCAGCAGCGAACACATTGGCCATGCCTATACTGATTGCTCCTAGCGGTCCTGCACCCACGCGTCTCGGCAGTTCTCACGGCGGCCAAGTGGCCAGACGCGCGTGTTCGGCGCGCGCGTTCGGTAGATGCGCCGTCGCGATTGCGCACGGGCTTTCAGCAGCAAAAAGGGGCATAGGCAGGGGAGTGATTGGGGGAGTCTCGCCCTCGAAGGCAGCACATGGAGAGGAGTAAGGGAGGGTACACGGACTTTGCCAGTCAGTAGGTGCATTTCGCCCGCCCCCTCACGGGGTTCGGTGCTCTGCTGCCGCAGTGACATCGGTATATACACAGCAGTGCAGCGAGCAGCTGCCTTACTCATCAGCAACGAACGGCAGTTTGACGCCTGGGAAGTCGTAGTTTGACGCCTGGGAAAAGTCGCCGCGGCAAAGGAGGGAAGGTCGGCGGGATGAGGCGAAGGGGTACACCTAGTCTCCTGGGAGCCTGGGGGTGTGAGTCTTCGCTTCGGAATGTCGACCCTGGGTGGCAGCCCGAACCAACCTTGAACTCTACCTCCACCATTTTTTTTTTTTCACCTCTCACGTGTCAACGGGCACACGCGGTGCGAATTTTTTCCCGTCAAAACCCTCAACCGTCACTTTATGTTGGCGTCAATCCTCAAAGGTCAAAATTCCGCGTCAATCCATAGTGGATACCCTATAATATTTATTTTGTTTTCGTCAACTTTTTGGGGCACCCCGCCGTGCGTTCGCACACAAACCCACGGACGGCATTCCCTCGTGGCAGCATTCTCGTGTGCCAGATGCCCCGATCACCCTTCTTGTGCGTTTGGTATGCTTCTTACAGATGTTGAGTCCCGACATCGTCTGGGTCGACGCGTCAGCGCTGTGTTGTGTTGTACAGCAGGTGCATCAGGTGCATCAGAGCAGAAAAGAGA